TGTCCGTGTGTTGCGTGGCGGTGCGTGCGTGTGTGGGTTGGCGCGTGGCGGCGTGGGAGTTAAGACTATACTTTCAGGGATCATTTCTGTAGTTGGTGACTAGAGGGGAGTGATCTCACCTGATCGGCGTCACAAGCCACGAGGAGGAGCGAGGTGTTCTCTCCTGAGCGCGAAGCGGGCGTGCGGTGCTGCCTGGGCAGGGGCCGCTCGCCATTGATGACCGTTCCCGCCCCTGTGGGGGCTGGGAGGGAGAGAACACGAGCTGAGTGGTTTGTGGCCCGGCTTTTTTTTAAGGTGGTTAAAAAAACAGATTAAACCCATTGGGTTGTCTAATAACACTGCTCAGCGTAAGTTTGGATCATAATCTTATACTCTTAACTAATTTTATTATTATCGAAGACCTTATGTCATTTCTTGAAAACCTAAAGTAACAAAATATTGGTCTAATTCCTAACTGCTACTTCTAAATAATATAGTTATTTATTAATGCAGTGCTCTCTGTTACTGTGCTCATCCAGTTTAATACTTTGCCTCTGACATTTATACATCCTTTATTTGAAAACACTGTGGACAAGCAGTGCATGGTATGTATGGAAAGTGGCAGGGATGTCATTTGCACTTTTTAAATCAATTTTTCTGAATACTATAGTTCATCTCAGAAAGAATATGGCAGTTTCAGTGTTAACAAACCGTTGTCCTTTATTGGTGATGGGGAGGAATAAACACTTTCCCCACCATCTGTTTTTTCTTGGAGGTGTTTTTGTGGATGCTGTCAATTCCATGGGCCAGACTTGCCTCTTCACTGCTGCCCTGCTGGGTCTTGCTAAAATAGTGGATGTGCTGTTGCAGTATGGCTCAGAAGCTAATCAGTTAAGTATCATTTTCTTTTTCTTAAATGAAATTAATGTTCAAGCTTTCAGTGGTTTTAGTCAATTTAATTGGCAATATTCATTGTATATAAAGCAGAATTACTTAAGATGGATGCTGTTCTTTTAGCCAAAGATCCCTAGAGGTGAATAGGTGCCTAATTTTCCATATTTCATGGGGTCTGTTTTTTGGGAGTATGTAAAGGTTCCAGGTATGCTGCTTTTTTCCCCAGAAGCAGAGCTGGTGAAGTGTAGGGGAAGGATGAAACATTTCTGCTTTAATGTTCCCCAGTCGCTGTCACGATGGGAGCACCCCAGTCCATGCAGCTGCTTTCTCAGGAAATAAGTGGATTCTTAGCAAGTTACTGGATGAAGGAGGGGATCTGAGAGTACATGATAAAGATGGAAGAAGTCCCGAGGACTGGGCCATGTCAGCTGGAAAAGCAAGCCGTGCTCAGGTATGTGTGTAATCCATGTTGAATATGGGCTAGGTATGTGCTCACATCTTCACCTTAAAGTGAAGAAACTCCAACAGTCTGAGGAAAACGTCTTGGCTCTTAGATGCTAGAAGAATTCTTTAACATTATTTTTCAATATCATAAAGGTATTTTGAAGTCCTCATGATTCTGATTATTTAACTAAAGTTTTGATCTCTCTGTAACTTGTTAGGACCTTTATATGTAATTGTGCAGTGAGGAAAATGACAGGCTCATATTTATTCGTCTTCTTTACTGTTATTGTAATGCTCCTGTTAAAAAGACAACCTGATAATACAATTTTCACTGGTTAAATGCCTTGAAAATCAGTCACCTAGTGTTTAAAGTAACTGTTCTCTTACATTTTCATGTAATTGATTTTCTTCAAGTTTTTCTGTGTATTCATTTCTTAACTAGTTATTTCTTCAGTAGTCATGATCTGTTAATTTAAATGGTTTACCTTGTAGTTCTGAAGTCATTTTTTTGTTGTTGTTTTTTCCCTCCCCCTCCTCTCTAGATGCTGGAATTTCTACAGTGTTGTACATCCCACATGCAGGCTGCCATTCAAAATTGCCCCTCTGAACTACTCAGAAGGGTTGGCTCATCAAAAGCCCTGGTGTGCAGTCAGTCCAGGTTTGGTGGCCTTGTTCAAGTGTAAGAATATATTCTCAAGTCCTGGGGGGTTGAGCTACAAGGACTTTTACTTCTATGTCCTTGTTTCTTTTTGACAATATCAGACTTAAAACCATTGTCTGTTGGGAATGGTGGCATTTTTTTTTTCCGTTGTGAGAAATCCAAACAGGAACTTGATATTTGTAAATATCTGTATATTAAGGAGATATCCTTGAAATCAGTAATATGAAATACTGGATTTTAATAGTATTAAAATGGCAATAATATGAAGCAGATTGTTTCCTGACCTTTCTAGGTCACTGCAAAGCTCTTGGGGATGTGTTTCCAACTTTTTGAAGAGCTTTAATATCAAGTGTGTGTTAGGAAAAATACATACTTGTGAACAAAAAGCAATGCAGGATGACTGTATTTTTAATTTTTATTTGCTTTAAAGAAATATGTACAACAGTGTACCTACCAAATTCTGATGAGTTGCACAATAATCGGGAATTTTGGCATCTGCCTTAAAACTTTTTGTGTGGGGCCTCATGGAATCCAGCATTTTAAAGACATTCTGTTGCAGAATTTATGCATTTTTCTCTCTTTTTTGTGTTATACTCAAAGCCCTGGCATATTAGTTACTCTTACTGCTTGTGTTTTTTGGTACCTAGGAATGCTGACAGCCCTCTGGGTAGATTTCTGAAAGGTGGAGCTAATGCAGCCAAAAACATTTACAACTTTGGTTTTGGAAAGGTAAGATGCTCTGGTTAATGGATTTCTAATGATATTAGAACAGTTTTTGAGAGTCACAGCAATTACCCCACCTGTCTTATTGTTAATATTTAGTGCTTACTTATTTCTGCTGGATTGGTGGGAAAAAAACAAACTCCGGAGAGTGTAAATTTTTAGTGAGCTTGTGCCAGATGTGAGGAATCTTGGGAACTGTTGCCTCTTCCCTTTGGTTATGCCCAGGCCATGTTCTAGTTGTATCTTGCAGGCTGTGGGCGTCTTGGGTACTTGGCTTCCCTCCCTGTAATTGGGGAAAAAGACGTAGTTCAGGCATACGATGAGCCAACGTTTTCCTACTGCGTTGGACCCTACATGATGATGACAAAGTAAGTGGAATCAGAGGGATTTTAGTCCCTCTTGTTGTGTATATGTTACCTTCAAGCAGCAAGTTGTTGTACCAGCTGCATTGTTTGGATGGTATTTTGTTGTCTTTTCTGTGTTAATCCACTGCTTTCTGCTTGCAGTCCATTGATTTTTTAGACTCCATTATAATCTCTGTTACCCTTGTCCTTTCCAGCAATATTAACCCAGTTTTGGTTATTCATTGATAGCAATGTTTCAGTACTGATTCCTTTTGTGGTGGGAAATATGTTGGGGTTGCTCAGTGTTTAGTCCTTGTAACTGTTGGGTCAGACCTCAGGCCTCTGAATGTCCAGGTCTGCAGAACACTTGCTCACACCTACACTGAAATGAGAGTTTCAAGTTCAGACTGAGCCTGTTTTTAATCTTTTGTGGTGTGTAGCAAGTAGTTGTGCCTCAGAAGCAGCCAGAGAAGTGAGAGATTGGTGAATCTTTACCTTGAGTAATGGAAGGGTAGCATCTTTGGACAGCAAACCTGTCCTGATACATCTGGTCTTCAACAGGGTGATAATAAATTATAAATTTGAAAGAGTATTTGCTGTGGCCAGGATCATCAAAGTGATATTGCTAGCAGTAGGAGACAACACCAGAGCATTTCAGAATGGTGAAATCATCTGTAAGTAATCTTGTAACTGGGAAGAAAATACTGCAGGAAACATCCTGTAGAAGTTCTTCTTCTCCTTGTAGCTTAATGTGGGGAGGCAGCAGAGTCACAGTGAAGGAACTCAGCTTTGAGCCCCATCAGAAGTGCAGAAAACAACGCTTAGCTGATCTTCTCATTGCAGAGCAGGAACACAGTAGGTAAGAACAAACGTGCAGTAGCCACAGGTGCTCCTGGGGTTTGGGTGTGTGCAGCAGTGTGAGGAAGTGTGATCAAGGCTGGGAGAGCTGTCAGGCTGTGGTTGTACCTTCTCTCTGAATGAGAAATACAGATCTCTATTCTCCTGTCACTTCCCATTCCATTTATGCCCCAGTAGATAATACAGGAGATGATACACTCTAGTATGCCTGGGTGAACGCTTCACTGCACATTACATGCATGGCTTACTTAGGTATAGATTCTACTTGTTGTGACAGTGAGCACTGTTTCCCACATGCCTCCTAATCTATGTTCCTTTCAACATTTTGGGTATTTTAATGAAACATTAGAAGCATTCATGTTGTATTGATAAAAATACCTAGAGGGCCAGGACTCTTTCTCTTTTAATCTCAGATTTGCCTTACAGTTTTTTTTCCTCTCTCTTTGCAGCAAACTCCATCATCCTCATTTGTTGCTGTTGATGTCTGTTTGTCTGTCCAGTGACTTGAAGAAAACACGCTTAGTATATGAAAGGGTTAACTTTGGTTCTCTGTACAGCATCCTTCATGAGAGGGTAAGTGGAATACTTGTTTTGAAATAGTCAGTAGTTGAGAGGAAGAGGTTTGGTAACTACATCTACCATCTTGACTCAAAGAACAGGAAGACAAAATGATCAGTCTGTGTATTTGGGTTTCTGTTTTGTTGCACAGTATCAGATACTCCATGTAAGGTTTGTAATTGGCAAATACTTCACTTAAGCAAATACTTGCTTAGGTGCAGCTCTACTGGTTTTCTTGTTTGGTGTCAATCTTAAAATGGCTGCTGTTAAATTCAATTAAACTCTTAATCTTCTGCATGTGATTGTAAACTGCAGATGTGGTGAGACCAGCTTTTGCCCTTGAATGTAGTGTGTATGTAGAATGTAGTACATTGACAACTGCCTGTGTATAAAGTGAACTCAGTTCTGGTTCAGTGGTGTGTTGGTTTTTTTTGATCAACTGATACGTGTTATTTTTGTCATTCACTACTGTTCTGTTCTTTTTTGCAGTTAATTCAGTTGTTATATTTTTAACTGTTTGAATGCAGACATTATCTAGCAAGTGCAATTCTTCTCACTTTTACTACAGTCTGTCTCATGTTTGCATTCTTTGATTCCTTCTGTACAATAATAGTTTTCCTCTACATCAAGCTTTAAAGACCTGACATGCAGATCTGGTGCTTCTGTTTCTTTCAGCGTACAGAATTCTCACTCCTGCACATAGAGACAATTTTGCACGTGCTGCTCCAAATTTCAGAGGCTTTGCATTTTCTGCACTCCCGTGGATTTATCCACCGTTCCCTCACTTCCTATGCCATCCAGATAGTTTCTTCTGGCGTGGCAAAGCTGTGCAACTTGGAATACATGGTAGAGAGGTACAGAACTTCCTCACTGTTTCTGTGAAAGGGACAAAGAGAAGTAGAGTCAAATTTAGTGCTTAGTTCTGCTGAAGTGCCCTTCTTGATGATGAGGGACTCCTGCCTCTGAGGCAGGCAACAGAGTTACAGGAGTGAAGAACTCCAAATTATTACTGTTCAGGTACATTAACTTTGCCACATACAGTACAGCAGGTTTCAGATGGACTTAGTTTCTGTGTTGTAGGCATCCAAAAATAGAAACCAGTAAGAGAAGCAGCTGTTTACTGGAGTATAGAAATAATGTAATATTACAGAAAAGAGATTATATTCCTTTCAGAGTACTAATTCTGCTGCTGGATGGGAAATAATTTAAGTCTCCTCTTGTTGTACTGAACTTGTGCCCATGGAGGCTTACCTAAAATAGTGGAAGATTCCACACCTCATGGAACAGTGAAAAAGTCAGAGGCCAAAAAGTCTTTACTGTGTCAAAATACATTTATTGGTGTGAAAATATGACATGTTTTCATTTGCACGCACAGGCTGAAACTTTTAGGTATTTAAACTAGAAGCAGATATAACAAACTCAAGTGTTTAATTCCAAAAGATACATGTTGCACTTGAGTGTACTGTATGTCCCAACTGACAACCTTTTTTCCCTTCCTACAGCAAAGATGGTGGAGAACAGAGTGATCTGACACGTATTCCTGTCCCAGTCCAGCTGTATAGGTGGTGCTCTCCTGAAGTAATCCTTGGGAGAATTGTTACTGTCAAATCAGATATTTACAGCTTCTGTGCAGTAGTGCAGGAGGCCTTGACAGGTACATCTCTGGGTTTCAGCTTTTTTCACTAGGGTAACCCACTGAATGTTTTCAGTGTCTGCCCCTTAATGTGTGTGCAGTTCCCTTCTGCAACTGGGTAAAGCCTTGCTGTGGTGGCTCCTACACAGTGAACTTGTGTAAGGAACCCTCCAGGCAAAAAACCCCAGATGCTAATGACAGTAGCAAAGACTGCTGGAAACTTTTTTCCAATGTAATCAGAGAACTTAAAAGTGCATAACTGAGGGATGAGGTATTAGAGAGATGCGATTTTGTGTCTGGTGTTTTTCTGCTGTTTACTTACCTCTGTTCTTCATGCAAGGGCAGCAAAACATCCAGGTAACTCTTTGCAATGTGGAGAATGAGCCTGTGCAGCTTTCATCTTTTTGATCACTAAGATAGCTTAAAGATAATGTATTGTTATTACAGATAATATAATGTATGTTAGATATTGACTTTGTTTTGACAGTGAAATGAGATAAACAATTACCCTAAAAATGAAACCCTCTTGTAGGTAGTTGGTAATGAAGAAGGCAGAGTGTAGTTTACAGTGTGACTGTCCTCTAGAGATAGCTGTCAGCTCCCTTTGAAGCCTCCACTGTTGAAATGAGATATGGAGGAGATGCCAGACTGGATGGATGTGTGACAGTGGTTGTAAATCAGGAAATGTGCAGACGATAGTGCTGCAGTATCTCTGAGTCTTTTTTATTTTCACTAACAGTGATACATAGCTTGTGACATAAAGTCTGTATTTTTGTCTTGCAGAGACCCCTCCCTGGAAAGATGTTGAAGACACCCTTATTAAAGAGCTCATAATTTCAGGACAACAGTTGGAAGCAGATATTGGACTTCCTGTGCCCTATTATGACACTCTGAAGGCAGGGCTAGAACCTAAACAGAGGAACCCCTCTGTGAAACTTCAGGATATTCAATATATACTGAAAAATGACTTAAAGGTGTCTTCAGGGTTGTAACCTTTCATGTATTTAAAGCAAGAGAGTTTTGTATCCATTCAGATTCAGCTTGTGTTTAAACCTGGGTGGGAGGTCACACAAACATAAGAGTATCCTTTTCTGATCATGGAGGCAAACCACCTTAAAAGAGAAGGTAGAGATATTGAGCTGTCAAATGTCGTTGTCTTTTGTTCCATGTTTTGTATTACAGGACTTAGCTACGTCTCCAGCTGGTCATGCTGATGAAGTGTCAAAAGCAGAAAGAGCCCTTGTTTCTCCAGATGTGAACAGCTGTTTGGCATCAGCTTTTAGCTACAATAAGAGAACACAGGAATTCCAAGGAAAAGAGATAACTGAGGCTGGTGAGTTTCTTCTAGTAGGATTTTATGGGCCCTTCACTTAGCATGTCCTCAGTCTATGAAGGTCTAATATAAATAAGTAAAATGTGAGCACTTGCAGATTTTATGACATAGTTTGAAACTAGGAAGCATTTAGCTTTGGATTTTAGCTACCAATCTCTCAAATACATTAACTCCCACATGCACAAAATCAGTGTGTTTGATGGACATCTGCAGAAATGGATTAACACATAAAATCACATTTTTCAGGCATCTCTTCTTGCCCAAGATATTCTGCTTTTTGTGAGAAGAGTCCTTTCGTGGACCAAGAGGCATCAACCAATCTACGGCCAGTTGCACAGGACAAAAATGATGGTGCAGCTTCTGATCTGCAGATGACCCTCAGTGATGTGGATGACAGCCTCTGTAGCTTTGAAGTCAACGAAATCTTTGCCAGTTATCCAGAACTTGAAGATTTCCTGGAAGAAGCAGCTGGATTAGGTCAAACTCAAAAGGATGAAAATAAAAGGCAGCAAAAGGAAGAAGATAAGGCCACCCTGAGAGAGGTGTATCCATCTTCTGGAGTGCAGTGTGAGGAAAAGCCAGGTGATGAGGAAGGTGGCTTTTCAGAATGGAGTACAGAGTATACTACAGAAGAGGAGGAGAGGGCAAGCGAGGCCTCTGACCTGTGTGTGCTGACACAGGGGAGAGTTGATTCTGGAAGAAGAATGAGTGGTGTGTCCCGAAGTGAGCAGTACATTGGCAAATGTGTCCTGGATTTAAAGATCATGCAGAGCATGGTGCAGCAGGCAGCAGATTCCCTGCACAGAACATTGCACCAGGAAATCAGAAGGAATCTGCTTTCTGAGCAAATGTTGAAAGAAAGATACAGAACTGATTATACTTCCCAAAACACCAGTAACCCTTTTCCTGGAGTTAACAGGTTGTTCTGGAAGGCTGTAGGTCCACCATCAAGTGACTATATTCTGCCACTGTTGAGATGTCAGGCACAAGGAGCATTGGGTGGAGACAGTGTCCAAGCTATTTCAGAGATGGCAAAAGAAATGGAGGTCATTAAAAGTGAAAAGTGGAAGTGCTTTCCTGAGATGAGCAAGACTAAAAGTGGAAAAAAACATCATGATTTCAGCTTAGGTGTGATGAAAAGTGTGGATGATCAAATGAGCCTAGACCATGAGGTAAAGTTGAGCAGGGTGATTGTGTTTATCACTTCTATATTCCTTAGTAAGTCAAGAGACATGGTTATGGATGGTGTCCAAGAGTAGCAATTAATCTATCTTTTAAAATATATGCATACCATATGCATTATATATAGCAATGGAAAGAGTCAGCTCAGCAGTGCAATGGTAGTATTTCTTCTGTTTCCTCATTTCCTCCAGCAAATGCTAGTCCAGTGGCTCAGGACTAAAGTGGAGTTGGGACTGTCAGAAAAAGGCAAGCAGAGAGAGATTTTTGCTTGTATGCTTAGTTATGGAGTTCTAAGCTGTCATTAGTAATGGCTTCTAGATAGTTTCATCATTAAATATAAGTAATTGACATGCATAGCCTGAAGAGAAAGAGACAAAATAATGTACATACCTACTGTAGGAATAACCTTGATTAATTTAGTTCCAGTCATTCCCCTGGGAACTATGTGTTATGATAGTCTGCCTACATACTTGTAAAACCTGCTATAAATCCAGGGCAGAGTTTTTAGTAGGCTATGGTCTGGAGTTGTCATCCTTTCTGAAGAGCAGTGCTACTAAAATACAACCTAGGGGATGAAGTTTGCATGGTCTCGTAGACCACTCAACAAGTAATGACCAGAATGCCTGATGTGCTGAATCATGGCTTGTTGGACTCATTTCAGCATTTACTTCCACATGTGTCTGTAAGATGCAAAAAAAAGATCAACTTGCAGTGTCAGAGAGGAGGTGATTCACATTCTGCAACAAGTGGAAGTGAAGAAGAGAGGTGGTGAGTTTGCATCGAGTTCATAGAAGAGTTAATTCTAGCAGATTCATCTTGATACAGCCACTGTGGAAAGCAGACACATCCAGGATCAAGGATGTGTTTTCAGTAAGCCAGAAGCCAGTGAGGACCCCACTGTGAGTCACTGTCAGCTGCAGAGCTGACAGGGTAACTGCTGTCACAGGGCAGTTGCTTTTAAAGGGTGGTGTTCAGGCAGATTCTATGTACCTCTCTGCTGGAGGTCAGTGGTCCCAAGCTGTAACAGTGTGTAAGGAGACCCATGAGATAAGGTGCTGGCTTCACTCTGTGCAGCCACCTTCAGTTCTCTGTAGAAATACTTCGGTTTTGTAGGTGTAGGACTCAGGCCTGTGTGAGGGGCCGTGGGACCTGACTTGGTCAGGTCAGTACCAACAATACGTTACTTAGTTATGTTTGCTGTGCTTTTTAATGTTGTCCCTTGGTATTTCTAGTGGAAAATACCTGTCAAAATGTGTGCAAATTAATGTCTCTTATTAGTTGGAAAAATGGGGACAGGCTCCTCCTTTCAGTGTTTGAGTCGAATCAGTCAGGAAGACTGTTGCAGTTGTTGATTCATGACCCAGTTGGGTCAGTAAGACCCGTTTGTGGAGGAAGTACTTGGTTAGAGCATAAATACACCAGATGCTGACATGTGGTTAGATGGTCAAGTGAATGAACTCTAGATTGGAATTGGGTTGGTGGTAGCATTGTTGTTACCCAAGTCTGAAGTTCTGAAAATCTTCACTTTTCCACTGATCACCTGACTGACCTGAACAAAACATATCTGTGTAGCATTCATTGGCTGCTAGTGTTGACACACATACATCATCTGCAGGCAGCTGACAGTTTTTGAAATCTAGATTTTAATGTACAGCTTGTGTGGTTAATGTATAATAGATGCAAATAACTGTGCTTTCTAAGCTTCTGACAGCTCAATCTGGTAATTCTGCTGGCTTCTTAGAATGTGTGCATTCAGCCTTTTAATTAACATTAGAACAATTTCTGGTCTTTTACTGACTGGGAAATACTAAACTCAATACACTGGTGCATTAACTGAATGTGATATATTTCATAATGATTTATTATAGGTGCTATCCAAACCCAAGACCTGAAGTTTACAGTAGAAAAATAAGTGAGGAGAGAAGGATGATGCAACCAGAATGGTGGAGTAAGTAAATCAGCGTTAACTCGGCATAAATGTTCAAGTCTTTCTGCAGTGCATTAAAACTGCACATATTTTGTTACTTAAGAAAGGTCTGTGTGCCTTAATTGCTGTAGCTCTAAGTAGGCTGCTCTTGGATGAAAATGAAATGAGTAGGATCCTGTGTCTTGCACATTCAGGGCATGAAAAAAATCATGTGAACATTAAGATGGTTTGATTATAAAGCTCAAGAAATTTCTAGCCCTGTTTTGGAGGATGCAAGAAAGAGTGGTATAGCAGTGACCAGTGGATGGCAGTACAGGCATGAGTAAGAGAAAATAAAAACCAACAGAAGTTGTTCATGTTGAAGACTTGTTCATATCAATGTATGTAGGTTTTAAGCTTTCCTTAAAATGGAAGGAGTGTTTAGTTCTTTTAATAGCAGAGGAGTTTACAGGCTGTAGCTTTAGCATTTCCAACTCGGGGAATTTTGAAACCTTTGCAGGGGCAGATCCTGTTGTGTGAGCTGGTAATTTTGTTCTCTTTGTGTAGCTGAAGTAAAGCAAATGGCCAGAAGAGCGGCCCTAGGACAACTGGGACTTGACTCTCCATGTCCAGCCAGTGAATATACATCTGAAAGTGAAGCAGAGAGTATAAAGGAAGCCTTTCAGCATGTCACTGTTAGAGTCCCAAAAAGTCAAGACCAGCAAAGTTACAGGTGGCAGACAGGTGATAACATGGTGCCTTGGGATCTGGGCAGTGAGGATGGATGTGAATCTGAGGAGAGTGATCTGGAGTCAACGTTCAGAAGTTCTGGAGGTAAGGTTGAAAAGCAAAAAATAATTCCTTCTCTTTTTGTCTCTTTCCATTTCCCAGCAGATCTCAGCTTCTCTGGTTTTGTTAAAGTAATCGTCAGTTTTACCTTTGAGAGTCTTGCCACCAAAGCAGGTCAATCACTCATTGCTGAACATAATTAATAGGCTGAGTAGGACATGTTAATAGGTGTAGGTGATGTCCATTTGGCTTTGAAAGCCTTCATCATCATTGATTACCATGAGAGACCCAAAGCTTTCAGGAGATGCTTTCACAGTTGGTTTCTTTCAAGTGGACTAGAGAAATGCTTTCTCTGTAGCAGGATAGTGGGTAGTGCTTTGGTAAATAGTCATGAATAAGGAAAAAAGGAAAGCTTCACATCCCTAGAGGAGCAGTTTGAGCATTAGATGTCATTATTTTCCGTGTTCCTGACAGACTGCAATTTTACTGTCCTGCTCTCATTGATATTCCATCAGTAGTTCAGATCACTCACTTCATGCCATTTTATGCCTAATAATTTTGTTCCATTTTGACATCCTAGGGAGAAGTTGCCAGTCACCATCACAAGATGAACAAGCAGAGTCTGGAATAGCCATTTATAAGAATTCAGACCTTCCTCAACAAGTTGAGAATCTCCCTCAAGTATGTGTAGTAATCCAGGAAATCTAGTTGCAGGCAGTTCTCTGGGAAACAGTTTAGCCAGGGTTCTCTGTGCTGCACACTGAACTACCAAGATAGCTGATCTTTTCAGCTGTGATCTGACTAACAATCCCTGCTCCTCCTCCCTTTTTTTGTTGATTGGTTCTGTAAACCATCAAGCTAATGTAATGAGCAGGAGGTGGGTTGAAACTCAGAGTGATCCAATTAAATATAAGTTCAGTTTAAGGCAGTAATTGTTTAACATTATTGACTAAGATGTATATTCTTTAACAGAGAGTGGAGAAAGTATCTCAGATGGTGATGTTTTTCACAGGGCCATTCAAGGGAATTGCATAGTTCCCTTAATTCATCTCCTGGTGTGTCTGAAGAATTCTTGACTCCTGATTATTTCCTTCCTCCTACTACTCAGGGACATTCAGAACTAGAGGTAAAAATAAGAGAAAAGACAGGAATGAAGTCTGTGTCCAGAACTTTGGACCTCAGTTACATAATTTAGTTTTATTATACTCCCATTTGATTTGAAGATGAGCTGTAGGAAATGAGAGAATGACAGTCCTCGTTTTTAAGTAATATCTGTAAGTAAAGATGTAACAGTAAGAAAACTCTAACCCTATTCCTTTCAAAAACACAGCCCTCCTTCACAAAAGAAAACAACAACCTTAACAACTAAAACCCCACAAACACCCAGATTCCCAAAACACCAGGACCATGTTTCCTTTATTTATTTACTTGGAAATAAAGTCTGTGGCTGAGAAAAGTTCTAGTTGATGACCTCAACCTTTCCTTCACAGCTCTTATCAATTATAGTACTGACTAGTCTTAAAGCAATCTTCATTCATTTCTTGAAGATTCAAAACTGTTGTATGGGCTATGAAATCCAATCCATGCTGTTTGCTGATAAGCTCTTGAAGAGTTTGTCTTTCCATTCTGAGCACTGTGAACGTGGTCTTGTGAGAGCTGCCCTGCCCTTCACAGCTTGCCTGTGAGAAATTGCATTTGCTCCCTTCTTTTCCCTCTTTTCAGACCTCAACTGCTGAGAGGAAATCAGAAGATGGTTGTGAAGGATTTTTACAGAAGTGGGAACCTGAAGATGCAGGATCAGATATTCAGGCTTCAGGTAAACATGCTCTCTCTTTTGAAGGTACTTTGGAGCCAGGGAGATGGAGTCTTGTTGCACTTCTCTTTTTATCAGCAGCACTCCTGTCAGAGCTTGATTCTTCAAGGTCACTCAGTCTCTTATTCCTCATTATTTTAGTGAGAGGTCAGGATACTCAGGATTTTGGAAGCTGTGGTTTGGGCAGGGCAGTGCAGTCACTGAAAAATTGTTGAGTGCAATGATCATGTATTTGCTGTGTTTCAGTTAAAAAAAACAACCCAAAACTTGTTTGCAACCTTTTTGTTCTTACCCTAAGGCCAAGTTTAATCTTTTTATGCAACTTGATGTGGTGCTGGAAACAGAATTAGAGTTACATTTACACATTAATATTCTTACTGCTAGAAGGATCTTGAGCTTAAAAACTGTAAGAGCTGACATTGTGAGTGTGTGCAGAACAATGGCAGGATCATTGTTGTTTCTCTAGTCTGTTGCCTCTCTTAGCTCAAATTTGTGAATGTTGTGATATTCCCCAGTGCTTCAGTGGTTAACTGTCTGGCAGATGTGGTGTGTTTATGAAAATGCACCTTTAAACCACATTTGTCTCTTGACAACAACAAAGGTCACAAGACCCAAAAAATTTAATAAAGTTGCAATTTCCTGTTCAGTGAGTTGTGTCGCTTTCCTTTGTACCTGCAAAACCCAATAACAGGGAACATTTGTTATTTGTATGCAGGAGGAAAAATACTCTTTTGCAGTACAGTGGTACAGAACTCTGGCAGTAACATGCAAGGAGTGAATCAACTTGGCCACGTGCCTGTAGCCAGGTAGGTAGACTTACTTTTGTAATTATTGCAAGCATAAATCAGATTATAAAGTGTGCTCTCTTCATTAATTCTGCCTCTATTTCTAACATTCAAATAAGATTCCAGTGGTGGTTTTTAAGAGTTATCTACATATCATGGTTCCTTGCCAAGAAAATACTGAAAGGATTTTTACAATTCTCATGGGGTTTTGTATTTTACAGCATTCAGTCTGGGGTTGTTGAGGTGGTTTTTGGGGTTTTTTTCGCTTAATGAGGGAGCTTAAATAGGAAAACTAAGTCATGTGTGTATTGCAATTCTTTTTACACCGATAAACTTCAGTCTTAAACAGAGCAAAGATAATTCAAATTAAGGCTTCAGTCATCTGTTTTAATTTTGTTGTGCTTTGGTTTTGGAGCTCAAGTGACATGAAGACCGTGCCTTTTCCCCTCCTGTGGGAACACTCTGCTGCAGGTGTGCTCACTGGATCTTGCCTGCAGATAACATTAGTCCATGCTTGGAGACTTGCAGTCTCATCTGTCAAACATGAGGTGTTTATATTGTCTTTTTTGTGTATTTTGTATTCCACTAGTATGCAGAGATGTTGGCCAGAATCACCACCTCATGCTGTAAGGTGTACTTTAGCTTAAAGAGTAGTCCTATCCTTGAAGGTCTTTCAGTGGTGGCTTTAAGGCTTCTCCAAAGCCTTGGGCCTCCCTGTAGCTCAACTTCCCTTATGTTCCTCCAGAGTTAGCAGCTGCTCACTTGCTCTGAGTGTGGGAGTGAGTGCTGCTTTTACTGTCTGTCAGCATGGAACTCTCTTCCCCTCCACTGGAGAAGCTGAGTTACCAGTGTCAGAAGTCAACAGCAAGTGTGTAAAAACTTGGCCTTGAGGTAAAAAATGTAATGGTTTCAGTTGCTCCCTTCACTTGGCAACTGGTCTTTTGCCAGCAGGACAGAGGGGACTGTTGACCATCTGTCTAATCCTCTTTGACCTTGAAATGGGGTTGTTACAGTTTGAGAGAACAGTTTACAATGCAGAGCAATCAAAGGATGATAAAACCATGTAGTGATGTCTATTCATGAGTTCTTAACTTTCTTCTGAATCTGCCTATGTCAGTTAGAAGTTTTCTCTTTACCAGATACAAATCCACAATGTGCTGAAAATGGCATTTTGCTCCTACCACTCTTACCTTTTTTAAGGCTTTATGCAAAAAGTTTTTATGGGCTGCAGTCTATCCCAGAGGGAAGGTAGTCCTTGAAAGTTTTTGAGAGAGAGGAAACCAAATAAATTTATTTTTGTAATTCTCTGAGTGGGTCAATGAATACAACCTTTCTTCCCTCTTTGCAGTGTTCAGGTGGCACAAAAAGTGATACAGTGGGAGCCACAGGAGGAGAGGAAAGAAGATGATGTGTAAGAGTCACAGAGCATTTTCTATCAAAACTTCAGCAAGTTGGTCAGTATAAGTTTTGTGTTGATGCAGAACAGGAAGATGAAATGGACCAAAGCTGAGAGAGAGAAAACTATCTGAAGATAATAATTGTAGAATAATTATTAAAATTAAGAAAACCTGTAAAAGAAGGGAAAGCAAATCATGAACCTTTTGATTATTGAAGACAGTCATCTTTAGCCTTCCAGGAATTCTGTGGGAAATTTTAAAAGGGAATATCTATCCTCCTTCTGGAAAACTAGATAAGATTGAATAAAATTAAAATTTTAAGAACCTGAAAAAAGCAGAGTTTAGTGATTCACAGGTGTAAGAAGTGGCTATTCTAACTGTCAGAACATCTTTCAATACTTCAGATCAGTGACAGATATTCAGGATTTGTCAAGTATCCCCTGTGAGCAGGAGAACTACTACAGGGTTATGGGATTTGGAACTCCCAGAGTGAGCCATGCACCAGCCAGTGTCAGCACTCCTCTCAGCTCAGGTAACTGCAGCAGCAGAGAGAGGGACCATTTGTGAGGACACAGCTGAAAAAAAACACTCTGAAAGATAATTCCTTAGTAGTTAATGGTAGCCTTCATAAATCAGAAAATGGATTACACATTTAAAATTTATTTGGAGTGGTACATGAAGATTTTAGCAATTTAAGGACAGGCAATGTAAGAAGCACTCGGTATGTTTTGAATGTTGATAAAGTGATTTCCATGTTTGTTGAACTTGTTTGAGAGAAACAAATTATCATTTGCTTTGTGGTTCCATTAATTTGGTGTATTACTGTAGTCAAAATTTCTCAGTTGGCAGAGTTTTATATAAAGAATGTCTGCAGTGCAACTCCAGAGTAATCAGTTGGGACTTTTGTGTAGAGATCATTTATGGACAATAATTTCTTGGGACTTTACTGTGCAGGTTTCTTGTTCAAGTACAAGAAACCTTCTGCTTCTACTCAAATGTGACCAAGATACAAAAAAACCCTAACAAAAAACACAAACAAAAAAAACCTTTGCTATTTTTTCTTTTTTTTTTTTTTTTTTAAAAAAAAAAAAAAAAAAGCAAAGGTTTTTTTTTTTTTTTTTTTAAAAAAAAAAAAAAAAAAGCAAAGGTTTTTTTTTTTTTTTTTTTAAAAAAAAAAAAAAAAAAGCAAAGGTTTTTTTTTTTTTTTTTTTAAAAAAAAAAAAAAAAAAGCAAAGGTTTTTTTTTTTTTTTTTTTAAAAAAAAAAAAAAAAAAGCAAAGGTTTTTTTTTTTTTTTTTTTAGTTACAGAATTAAAAATTCAAGCAACCTTTGAGAAATACAAACACTTTCATGAAGTATCTTCAAATTCTTCTTCCTTTCATGGTGGTTCCCAAGAGACCTCTTCTGCAGAGTCCAGTACATTCACTACAGCCTCTGAAGAGGGAAGGAGGACTGAAATTCCCTTGGTTCCTTCAAGAACTTGCTCACCTGAATTAGATGACCCTGTAAGTCTAGAAAATGTACCTCATGCCAGCCATTCTTTAAAATATTTTAAAAATGCTTTTCCTTAAAATAAAGATAGTATTAGAAGCACAGAAGTACTTTAGGGCTTTGTATCTTGGAATCCTGGATCTGTTGAAGAAATGAGAAAAGTTCCAGTTGATGTCAGGTCAGTGTGTGCCACTGATGAGGCAAAGAGTTGGTTTCCTCTTGCACCTAAAGGTGTGCAAATGTTGACCACCATCAAAATGGCCTTGCCTGCCCCCCTTCCCTTCCCTGGCTGTAAAGAATTGCCATTTCCCAGCACTGCATCTGGAAATCTTGCCTGGGCATTAGGGGGTTAAGGTTGTCTTTTGGAGGCCCTGGTGGGACATTGTGTTACCAACTGTGTTGTGTCAAAAAATCCTCTCTCTTTGGAGTTGACTATTTCCAAGGTAGTGATTTCCAGTAATCTTTTTGGAACTGAAGGTGTTCTGGAGCCACAGCATTATTTTAATTGTTTATTTTCAGACAGCTATCTATAAAATAATTGCATTTATGTCTTTCTTATTGTTATTAATTGATGGGGTTGGCATTTAAGGAAGAAATTAGTTTGTTCAACCAGAACAGCAGTGACTGCACTCATCGCCATCAGGTTAGGTCTGTATCTTTCTGCTTGTGCAGCAGACAGTTGGAATTCATTAAGCCCATTAACAGGACAGTGCTCCCTTGACTGACTGCAGAGATAACTTGATTGTGTCACTTTCTTGCATAAATCTTATTTTACAATTAAGTGCATGAAGCACCTGTTTGTATTTTGAGGACAGTGAGGACTTGCCTGTGATTACAGATTCTCCATTTTTGGGGATTTTTTGAGGAATAGGTGTGCTGGCTTTGATAAATAAAGTAGAGAATGAGAACTTAAGAGATGTTGGAACTGTCCTTGCAGAGAATTCCTGTCCAGTTGCCCATACAGAGTGTTGAAATGGATGAAGGTGATGTAGCTGACAGTATCTTACAGCTGGCTAAAAGATGAGTGCACAGCAGCCTGAGCAATTTTTTTCTAACATCTGGCTTACCTGGATGCTCCATCTGTTTTCATATTCTGTACTAATTGCAGAGCTTGTTTTAAAACATAATGGTCAGCTAAGTGTTTAATTAAGGCTTTTCCTCATTCTGAATGTAGTGAGTTGAAGGGGAGGATCGAAGACCAGCAGTTCTTTTGTTTACCTCTTTGTGTTTCATTCTGTTTCATCTTACACAGGGTGGGTTGCCAGTAGTTGCTTCATCCTTGAGAAGCACCAAGAAGGCAGCTGGTAAGTCTCTTGACCCAGCCCAAATAGAGTGATCAATAAATGGAGAAACAGATTTGAAAAGAACTTAAGCTTCTCTGTTTTTTTAATCTTTTTTTTTTTTTTCTTCTCTTTTCTTCCTGGGCATCTCTTTTTATAGGGATAAATTGCTAGTGGTAATTGTTATGGATTTTGTGTTTGCACCTGCAGACTAAGAACTCTGACCTCTAATCAACCTACATTTTAAGTGTCAATATTACTGGCCTAAAATTTGCAATAAAAGATTGAGAACTGAATGTGCAAGTCTAGCTGTGAATTATTTTTCCATTATGAAATTATTTAAGGATAATTGACAAAATGTGAATGGGCCAGGCTCATGAAGGTTGTAAATGAAATATGTCAGCAAGATGCTGTCATAATGTAAGCCTGTATCACAGTTACTAAGGATTAATCACTGCTAATTAACTAGATGACTCTCTTTTTCCCATCTCAGCACTCTCAGAGGCATCTGACCACTTCATTGAGGAGCTGCCTCCACCAGCCCAGGAGTTGCTGGATGAAATTGGTAAGAGGCACTTCACCCAAAATGGTATGAGGCTTGGCAGCTGTCTTCAATCAGGATTTCTCCCAGATCATTGGCTACTAAAATACACAAGAGCTTCCAAATCAGTTGCAGTCAGGCCAATGATTAGGAAGTCAGGCATCAACAGCTTCAGTAACTGGCAGTTATTTAAGTTAGTCCTTGAAGTTTCTGCATTTCACAGAACGGTTGGTTGCTGCTGCTGGCAGCTGCTGGCTTAGAGAGTGCAGGTGTAATTTAACACTGAGATGAACTCTGAATTTTTCAGAGTTTTCCTGGAGTAATGCATATTCTCCATTAAAACAAATGCATTCCTCAGGTATTTTTGCAGAGTTTAGTCTCAGTGGTTTGCATTTCTTTTTGTAATCTCATCCATCTTCAGACAGTCAGTGTAACAACTCTGCCTTCTTTTTACTGGTGTGTGTTACAGCTTTGGTTATTCAGCTCACATGAGACATTGGGATGATTAAATGCATCTAGGTCCTATGTTTTTTTAATAAATGAGACACCCAGACATATTCTAATCTTTTTATTTCCTCATTAAGACAAGGACATGTGGAGATTGTCTCTGACCATTATTTATTTCCTTGATGTCAATTTGTAGAATTAATGTATGAACTGATGATGTAAAGATTTTGATCTAGGCTTGGATGGATAGAGTAATATGGTACTTTAGATTGTATGATGTCGATTAGAAAACAGTATCTAGATCAATAAGGAAATCTGCTGTCTTTACAGAATATTTAAAGCAGCAAGAATCTTTTGCTCAAGAGAAGGGATTGCATGACTGTGGAATGCAAATAAATGGTTAGTCAATAATAGTCCTAACATAGAGATTGCAGATAGAATATTCCTTTTGCATTGCTGCAGAATTACTCTGAATACTTGTCACTCTATGTTCAGCTGTACAATAAACTTTGATTTTTAGCTTTTTTTTTTGTATTTGTGGTT